TAAACATGTAATTTAGTGGTTGCCGTTGGTTGTCCTATTTGTTTTCGTTCACTGTTTACGTTAAGTGTTGTAATAAAAATCAGAGCACCTGTTTTCACTTTTGAATGGTTAAACATTTAATAATTTTAACGCTTTCTGTTGTGGGATTACTCATTGTTGAAGTCCACACGGTTACCTTTAATTAGACAATCTTTGTCCTTTGTTCTTATGGTTAGTTTTCTCCTTCTCAATCATAACACAACTCCGTATTTTTATATTGGATATATAGATTGCATTTGCATCAAACAATATATTTTTGATCAGTTTGGTTATTGATCATCAATTTAAATATTTCAACAGCAGTTATGTTGATGACATTAGCACTATACAAAGCAGTTTCCTTATTAATATATATCACTGTAAAACTTATAGACATCTCGATTAGAGTATATAGTTGATGATAATTTAAAAGAAGCATGTTTTATTTCAGAATAGTATATATTCTAGAACTTGTATCCTTCTGTGCTGCTTTGTCACAAATGTTTGCCACAGAAAAAGATTCACAAATAGTTTTAAGTGGGGCTTTAATATATAGTAAGCGAGTCCAATCGAAAATAGAATGTGCAATGCAATGCACAAATGTGAAAAACTGCTGCTCTAGCAAGTATCATATCACTATAGGACTATGTACATTATTTTACGCTTGTTGTCCTAAAACTGAACATATGGTTGGATCAACAACAATTATAAAGACTCCCATAACAGGTAGGTCTTGTATATTTTTGTCTCTCTCAAATATTGTGTAGTTAGGCTTTAAAGAATATCTTAATTAAATGATCTGATTCTTTTATTTGTTACCAATGAGAACATTGTTGTATACACCAATGAGACGGCAATATAACAGCATAAAAAATACCACACGGCCATGGCAGACAAGGGTTGACCCACGTCGAGAGAATATTGGAATGAATCCAAGACCTACCATGTATACCAAAGTTCCCTTAAGAACAAAAAATATTTAAATTACAGTATATTTGAACAACTACTGCTAATCTTTTCGACTTTGGTGGTCAAGAACGGGAACGTGGCGAGATAAGGCTTTTGGTTAGCACTCATCCCTCCCGTTTTTTAAATAAGATCAATGGAAAAATGAAAGGTTAATAAAAAGCATACAGTATGAGAAGTTTAGAAAAAAAAACCCACTTAACCATGCCAAACAGAGAGGCGAAAGAAACCAAAGACCACCAAAGAGATATTCAAACTCATGTATCGAAAACAAACTAACAAATAATGCCACGGCAAGAAAACGAAAAACGACGAAAAGACAAACAGCAGTACAAAAACACAACATAGAAAACTAAATACTAAGCAATACGAACCCCACCGAAACCGGGGGTGACCTCAGGTGCTCCAGAAGGGTACGCAGATCCTGTACCACATGTGGCACTCGTGTTAGCACCCACGTACCCAGTGATAATCCTAATTTGGTATGTTATATTCGAGGAAAAGGAGGACGGGATTGTGGTTACGGCAATTGGAACATAACCGTCGTCGTCTGTGAAACAGATATTCTATAACGGTCAACCAATTCGTCATGGTGTTCGTAAAATATCGAAGGGAACTTCACCACTTCATGGAAAGTTCACAATTGGGAAGCTTGAATCATTTCTTTTGTCGTAAAGTATTGTTCTCAACCGACTCTCATTGTCAATTTCTAGATGTAAGTCAAGATAAGAGGCAAACTAAACTGTATCTGTTGTATCCTTTATTTCAAGTTTTGACTTGTTTGCCCCAAAATAAATAAACTGATTCCGTTTCTCCTTATTTTTCATCTGTTTAAGTTTCATCCAACTGAAGCAATGAAAACACAAGCAATTATTAGGAAATTGTTTTTATACAATTTTTCTATTTATAATAACATAATGATCCCAAAGTTCAGAGATTTCCTTATGTATTTCATTTATATAAGTTTCACACCAAAAATAAAGGGAAAAACATATTAAATACATGTTTTTTTATAAGTTGTTATTGGCTTTGAACGTTCTTTGTGTGTCTGTCCCATGTTGGGAACCTATAGGTCAGTGGTTGACTTTGGTTGCTGTTACTTATGTCTGGTTTTCGTTGGTTTTCTGATAAACTTACTTTCTATACTTCTTCCTCTATTTATATATATATATATATCATCAAGCATCAGCATAGTCTTAAAACAATTTAAGTTACAAAAATCATAAGATAGCTTACAACCTAAGACACGTCTCAGCATGATCCTAATACCATCATAAATCAAGTCCTAAGACATATTGGGACATATCTTAGAACATATCTAAAGATATATTTATTGACATGGCTCCAGCGAGGCTTGTATATGTCGCATTTTGTCTACAGAAGACAAACCAGTTGCACTCGAATAAGCTATGATTCACATTTCGACATCATACCAAAAATACTTACAATATTCCACTTTATTTTTGATAACTCAAAATAAATTTTCATTTCCATTCTTTTTCTGCCTTGAGCGCAAACTTTCAAAATCTTGATTATATTTCACTGGTTACTGGATAGCTCAAAAATATATTTTCACCACTAATTATGATCACATCGCACATGCTAATTACATACCAATGTACCCCCTTTCGATCCCTTAAATATCATGATCACTGGTTAAATTAGAATTTATTATGTGACTTGCAATTCGTGTGTTAACTTCGCATACTTTGTAGATCACTCAGTTTTAATAAGTTGCTGAATAACTCACAATACATTGTTGTCTTTTATTTTGGCCTCAGGGCAAACTACGTAATTCACAAACCTTCGTCACAGATAGCTCCTATAATATTATTTCAACTCAAATTATGGATTTATGTCAATTGGTGTAAGAGAAATCTGGAAACAATCGTTTAGTAGCTTCTTTCACTACCAAATAATCATATCTCACAGGGATGGCTTGAAAATTGCGATTAGTTCGAGTTTGCATATTATATAATTTGACTTGTAATTCATGTATAAACTTCTCTCCTTGGTAGTGAAAAAAATTCTATTGACTAATAGTCACTACGAGATTCGTCTTCACCCTTAATTTTGCCATTTGGGCAGTGATAAAAATTCCGAAAATTATAGCACAATTAATGCAACTATTCCATTGAACTTGAAAAAAACATACAACGGATACAGTTTAGTCTGCCTCATATCTTGACTTACATCTAGAAATTGACAATAGGAGTCGGTTAAGACAAAACCTTACGACAAAAGTGATAATTTCAGCTTCCTAATTGTGATCTTTCCATTTCCATGTAGTAACATTCCAGCAGTGCATGCTTATGGAGTATATATCTCCCAGTTTATATCATATTCCAGGGCTTGCGTTTCTTATCATGTTTTCCTTGATAGAGGGTTGCTGATGACAAGGAATGACAAAGGAGCTATAGCACCAAGAGTTCCAAGTGGTGATGTTGTGATCATCCCTTCGACAATTTTACGGACGCCATCACGAGTTGGTTGAATGTTAAGGAATGATCCAATCGTCGTAACCTCAATCCCGTCCTCCCTTTCACAGAATGTGACATTAGACTTTTCACCTGGTTTGTACTTACATGAGTAACATGATGGGTGCCACATGTTGTCAGGATCTTCATACCTTCCCGGAACACCTGCGAATTCATCAAAGATAACGGGATTATAATTAAGGTTGCCAGACATGTGTTTTGTCTACATTTGACTCATAAGTGGCGCTCAAATCAAAACAGTTGGAAGTTAAAATCAAATATGAAGTTGAAGATGAGTTAAGAAATGATTAAGAAACTAAAGTTCCGACTTATTCAGGCAAATTTTGCCCTTCATGAATTTGTTTAAGTTTAAGGTCTCTTTGTGACATTCAACTAAAGTTTCTACGTATCTATAAGTCCCTGGCTTTCAAATGTTTAGGTTTGGACATTTCTGATGAATATATCACACAAAAACACTTCGGATGCACTAACTTTATTTAGTGTTATTTTCATTTTTAGGGTAAATACATTCCAATTTTCATGGACTATCGTTTTTTTCTCTTTCACTATATCTGATGATTAAATTGACAGGGGCCGAATAAAAATTCTAACATCACCAATGATGTTTAAATTTATAATGAGACTAGCGATACCAAGTTAACTTTATATGCTTAGTAGTTCAAACGATTACTGGATAATTAGCAGTACATTTTCATCATTTCTAGCCTGATGACAAACACAACGGCTGTTGTGTTAAATGCAATAACATCTTTACAGCCTGATCTCAAATTATGATAGGAAAATTGGATAACAATCGATTTGTTGCTTTTTGCAACCCTGAAGAGCATGCCTTTTAATTTCAGCTAGAAAATGTGGATATCTTTTGTCTTATTTGAATATATAATGAGACTCGTGATTCTAGTTTTAATTTTCCAATCTTTTGAGTTGTGTCTTTGTTGAATTCTACACCGATTTATGATTTAACTGTCATCACGACAACCGTCAATAATTCTGCCCTTTTTGGCATAGATCGAAATCCGAAACATATGGCATAATTTAGATGTGTATGCTATCATTGTGGCAGGTTTCAACGTTCTTTGACTTCTTGTTGTTGAGAAATCATTGACATTACACACAGACGTTCATACGAAGAACATCAAAACAGTATCCCCGCCTCTTCGTAGAACGCACAGATACGCTCGACAAACACTTTCACTATTGATACTGTTGCAAACCTTTTAAATTGTTTAACAGCTTTGTATATAATTTCAATAAAAGAAATAAAAAGATTGAAAATATTGACTGCTGCTTCTTAAATTGCAAACATCAATGCATGCAACACCGTGATACTGTTAATGGCTGTTAAAATAATACAGGTTCTATGGTATAGCTTAACAATTAATCGATACTTAAAATGTTTAATTTTTAATTGTACAACATACAAAAGAAATGATGAAAACGATAGAAAACAACAATCATATTATTCTCTGCTTGTTTTTAATTTATACTTTTTTTACCATCTTTGGTAACTCTCCAAAAATGGGTAAAAGGGGATGTTCTTGTACTTAAAACAAGGTTTTGTCTCTTAACATCATGGACAATTAATCAACTTGAAGGGGAAATTTTGATCAATTTAATACGGTACCTTCTTTATTCCATCTATGGAGGTACATTTGTTGATCTTTATTTCTCCTTGGATAATACTTACCCCGTAAATAGTGTTCTTTACTGCATGATTTAATTTGATAATGATGCCTGCGAATACTTTTAGGTGACAAAAGATCTAGAGATTTTGTTAAATTTTAGTGTATTCGTGTTCCTAGTCTTAGCACTAGGTGTATACATTATTGTAGGTTTATTATTGTAAATTTCCAGTTTTTGCTTTTACGGAAGATAGTAAAGTGCTGTTGAAGTCATCCTATTGAAACTTCTAAGGACGCAATCACTAATTGGTTAACCGGTATGGAATATCTGTTTCAGAAATTGTTAAGGAAAAAGTAAAATCACAAAAATACTGAACTCCGAGGAAAATTCAAAAAGGAAAGTCCCCAATCAAATGGCAAAATAAAAAAAAAACACATCAAACGAATGGATAACAACTGTCACATTCCTGATTTGGTACAGGCATTTTCGTATGTAGAAAATGGTGGATTGAACCTGGTTTTATAGCTAGCTAAACCTCTCATTTGTATGACAGTCGCATCAAATTCCATTATATTGACAACGATGCGTGAACAAAACAAACAGACACAATAAGTAAAAATGTCAAAAATAGGGGTACAGCAGTCAATATTGTGTTATCATCTTAATCACTATAAAACAAACAAATATAACGAAGAAGCACAAAAAGGCAGACATCAAATTTAAAATCCACATTTTGCTTATATTATACGATTTTATTTATCAATGTTCCAACTGCCGTAACAAAAATCACGTCCTCTTTTTCGCAAATGTGACATCACAGATGGGTGCCAATTTTTTTAGCAGGATCTGCTTACCCTTCCGAAACATATAAGATGCCTCCCGTTATTATGATGGGGTTCGTGTAGCACAGTCATACCACATCTTCTTTTTTATATTCAGTTATTTTATTTGTTGTGTTTATTTTTTGACGTTTTTCGTTTTTTTACTATGGCTTTGTCAGCTTGTCCTCACTCATGAGTCGGAATATCCCTTTGGTATATTTCGCCTTTCCTTTATAAATGATGACATTATTAGCATTTTCTAATTTTCAGAAAGAGTTATCGCCCCTACGCCTAAGGATTGTAGTGATCTGTCACCAGGAACGTGCAGTGGAGTTTATACTATACGACCACAGAACGGTGTTGATATATCTGTTTTCTGTGATATGGCGACTGATGATGGAGGTTGGACGGTAAGCTCCATTTGATTGCAAGCTTAAGAGATATATGATAATTTATACATGCTGTGCAGGTTATAATATGTTTGAAGTGTATCAATATAAATCCGCTTTAACGATTGCATACATGAAGGCAATAAACAGAAAATGCTATTAGGATGTTTTGCAATGCGTTTAAATATTTGCCACCGATTTTCCGATCGCATTTAGATATAGTTCATATATTGTTTTCCCTAGTAACATAGTAAATGAGTCGTTGAATTTTATGGTTACACAATGTTTAATGTTTATCCAGTTTATGCCGTCACAAAAAACGAAATCCAACTGTGGAAACGAACTTTAATGATACACATTTTGTAAAATGCACCATTGGGTAAGTTCAAACACTGGTTCATTTGATTTCAATTGAACCATTAGACAAATATTTTGTATTGTGTCTGAATCGTTGCTTACTCTGTGTATTTTGCGGAAAATATTTCCGAACATCTTGCAATTATTACTCTTTCAAAATCGTCTTAGTAACAATTTATACAAACAGAAAAAAGTTAAGCACCGACACGCTTTTTGATATGAAAATGAAACGGTTAGTGCTATGATATGACCGACCAAATAATCGTAAAAATATAAATGTTGCCTGTTAGTACGTTACATTAGCATTAGAATTCATCAGAAACGACAATTCAATGAATAAATCATCACAAAATCACAACCCCTGTTATTACACTAAAACATGTCCATTTAAGTATTGACATTCTGAGTTCATAATGACCGATGAGATTGTCATCTCACTTTGAAAACGTCCATTTTAAACTACTTAACGACATCCATGGTTAAAAGTTTATTACCGACTGAAACGTGCTTGGATGACGGCCTCAACCCTGGATCTGATCCCTCCAGTCAGTCGTTGGATTTCCTACTATGGTGGATAGTTTTCTCATTGTCAACCATTCCTCATCTCCTTATTTTTATATACCTGTCGCCATTCCCGGTGCAAGTCTGATTCAAACTGACTAACATGTCCCAAACATGCTCTATCGGATTCAAATGCTGGCTCATGGCTGGCCATGGAAGATAAGTAACGCCTTCAACTTTGTACGATGTGGCCTGTCATTGTCATTCATAAACACAGGTATTGCAGCTAGTGGATGGTTGTTAAATTAAGGGTAACAACTGGCTGAAGAACTTTTCTGATGTGTTAATCAGCTGTTAGGGGCCATTGTATGGAAGCCAAGACCAACTTTCAATCGTGAGAGATGCAACCCCATATCATTACAGAGCATCAACCGTAAGGGACAGTTGGTTCGATGTTCCTTGGTGTATGTGTCGTATGTTTCTGTCTCCAAACTCTCATTCGTCAATCTGTTTCAAACAGTAGACACCGGTTTTCGTCCGATCAATGGATCCTGTGCCATGCAGGTAACAAGTTCCAACCAGTTCAATATAAACACCATGCCAAACGCAATCGTTGATGTTGATCAGATAACATGGAACGTCTAATTACTCTTCAGTCCTTGTGATTTCCACCAGTTTCTCACTGTTCTGGTTGATAGACGTCTTTTACGTAATCAATGTGAGAACAGGACTAGTTTCAAATGGCAATCGTCTAACTAGTTAGTGCAGTGCCCTGCCTCCACGCTCCGATGTTACAGATGGTCTTCCAGATCTTAGCAAGTCTTTCACAGAGTTGGATTGGAGGTGTTTTCTCACAAGCCGGGTTAATAGAGTATAGTGATAGCCCATCGAACAAATGGAAAAACCAAATAAATTATGAAGTAAAAATGCAATGAATTTATTTTAAGAAACTTAGTTTTTACTATAAATGTGACTGTAATGCGAATAGAATAACCAACCAGTTAACACATGTGGAGCTGGATCTGCCTACCATTCAGGAGTACCCGAGATAAGCCCCGGTTTTTAGTGGACTTCGTGTTGCTCAGTTATTAGTTTTGTATGTTTTTCCTTTTTTGCCATCACATTGTCAGTTTGTTTTTCGACTTTTGAGATTGAATATTCCTTTTTTATTTTTAGCCTCCCTTTACCAAATACGGATAAATAGGCAGTTTGTTAACCGTATTTCAGTGAGTGTATTAAACCCTTTGAACCTTGAGTTTATGAGAGAAGATTTGTCTCGCTGTACACTTTCATTTTAAACAAGTATTACGGCATTTATTGAAGATACATACACATTAGTCTTCTACTACACATTGAACATATTCATAGATTATTCTTGATTCCCTGTATATATTCTATGAGATGAATTATATAATGCTTATTTATTATTAATTCATTCGGCTTTGAGAGTTCATGATGAAGGTAAATCAAGAAAAGCACTCTGGACGCATGCAATTTATCAATCTCCCATGCAGAGTTATCGGTCCTTTCTCTCTGAGAGAGAAAGGACCGATAACTCTGCATGGGAGATTGGAAGTTTATAAACTGTTATTTTCATTTTTGTCTGGTAAGTCAACAGGTTTACAAATTTTGCCATCAAGATAGATGTTTGCAGCGAGCTGAGTTCTTAAGGTAGATTCATGGCATACCGCCATCTTGGATTGTACAATCCCAGTACAAAATCGGTCTAGTTATTTGCCTAAATCTAAAAATTAGGAGACAGATTTACAATTTATTGGTTAGACTGTTTATTTATGTAAATAAAAATTGGTGATTAATTGTATAACTCAAAATATTTAAACAAATATCAAATTTTGTGTTTTTAGAATCAATTTTTTCAAGCCATTTCAGGGAAGATAACTCTTTTAGTAAAAAATATATACTGGACTGTTAGGGAAATTTTTAATTTTTACTTGTAGCAAGAAAACAACTTCGGTGACACCATTTTTTATTTTAATTTTCTTAAAACATATTATAAAACCTATCTTCTCACAATTTATTTCAAAATTCTATCTCATAGATTCTTTTTTATGCACACAAATGTGTTTTTTCATGAATAATCTAACCAAATTTAGGCAATTTTCAACGACTCATAGCTTGGAAAATAGCACGGTGACCCATACTTTTTATTCAAATCAAATCAAATCAAACTTTTATTGCCATATAAACCAACTTATACGATTTGTGACAAAAACAACATTAACTTAATGACAAGAAAAAAGCATGTATAATCATATTAAACAAACTAATGAAAATAGTTCAAAATTCAATAATGAGTCCCCTTTCCTTAGTGCCAATGACTTTTTAATAAAGGAACCTATGCTTTCTACATGTTCTTGTGTTGATGGGCAAAGAATATTTATCATTTTTTCATTTTCATTGAGGCTATCAAAATTTTCTATACTTTTAGCCTTTGTTAATTTTTCAATAAAAACTGGTCTAATAGAAGCGTTTTTCCTGCAATACAAAAGAAAATGTTTTTCATCCTCAATTGTATTGCAGGACTGACACAACCTGTTTTCCCTAGGGATTTTTAGGTGTCTCCCTTTTTCTATTAATAAATTATGATCACTTAATCTTAATTTTGTGATATTACGTCTATTTTCAAATATATAAGAGTTGAGATATGTTTCTATTTTATTACTTTGTTTTCATGTTTTATATAATAGAAGTTTACTGCTATTATCTATTTTCTCAAATTTATGCTTATATAATTTTTCACAATGATTAAGGAGTTTAACTTTTAATTCAGTTTTAAGTGTTTTTATTTGGTTTAGATTCTTACACTCCTCAATATGTTTAAAATCTACATTTGCTTCCTTTGCAATGTTTTTTATATACGTAAACCATGTGTAACATCCTGCTGAGTCTAGATTCTTTGATAGAATGAAAGCCTCATATAATAAGGGATTTATACAATTATTTAGAAGTCTTGTTAAATATAGTAAACTTTGGACCTTTATTTTTAATTCTAATGGATAGCGACTTAATTCTTTTCTAACTGCTAAATTTGATGAATTTTTTCGTGTTCCCAAAATATATTTACAAAATGATAAATGAAGTTTTTCAAAACAAGTTTTATCAGTAAAATCAAGAAAGTCAATTTCTATATGGGATACATTTGGCCTCTGGACAGCTCTATATAATGTTATATATGTATCCATAAAAGTAACCTCTGAGTTATATGTAGCAATTGGTTCCACCATAGTATTGAACAAACTACATGCTACTTTAATAGGGATATTATTTAAAGAACCAGTATAGGATTTAATAGCAAACATTACCTTTTTCGCCTTTTTTACTAGTTCTTCAGAACTATGATTAAAATTTCCATTACATTTAATAAGAATACCTAAAAATTTATATTCTGAAACATTTATCAAATTTATATCTTTATATTTAACAAAAGATTGTTCTAATTTAATGTTTTTGTTTTGCAAAATCATAGTTTTAGTTTTGTTAACATTTAGTGTAAGTTGCCAGGTGTCACAATATTCTTCTAAATTATTTAAGCTATTTTGCAAACCTTGTTTATTTTCTGAAAGTATAAGTAGATCATCTGCAAACATAAGACAATTTACCTCAGAAGAAACTAATTTTAAAGGATAATTATCATTTTTTGAGAGTTCACTTTCAATATCATTTATAAAAAGATTAAACAAAGAGGGGCTTAAAGAATCTCCTTGTTTCACCCCTCTTGATATTTCAAAAAAGTCTGAGTGCTGATTCTGCACTTTGATAGACGATTTAGTGTTAATATATTGTTGTTTAATAATATTATAAAAAATTTTACCAACTCCTAGGTTATAAAGTTTATAAAGGAGGGCTTTTCTCCATACGGAGTCAAAGGCCTTCCTTAGATCTACAAAGCATGCATATATTTTCTTTTTATTTTTATGTAAATATTTATTTATTAATGATTTTAATACAAAGACACTGTCAGAAGTCCTATGATTTTTACGAAAACCAAATTGACTTTTACTGACAGCAGCTTCCATTTTTTTTATAAGTCTTTCATTTAAGATAGCATTAAATAAATTTTGGTAGACAATCTATTAAGGAGACACCTCTATAATTATTAGGGTCGCTTTTATCTCCTGCTTTGTGTAACAAAACTACAAATGAGTTTTGCCATGAAGAAGGATAAATACTTGTATTTAATATCAAATTAAAGAGTTTGACAATACTTTTCAGTGTTACATTTTTACTATATTTTATAACTTCATTTATTATATTATCTGGACCTGATGATTTACCCTTTTTTAATCTATGTATTAAATTTTTAACCTCTTTACATGTGATGGGGGCATCAGTTTCTTCTTTAAATTCTATGTTATTCTCAAACTCCTTTAATTTATTTTCTATTTCCTGGCTAAAATTTTCATCACATGATTTTGGATTGCCTTGTTGTTGAATGTGTTTTTTAATTTTATCTTCATCTTGTAAAATTGGTGGAATTTCCTGGTCAACTTCTTTTTTCTTTTTAAAATTTTTAATTATATCCCAGTAGTCTTTTTGTTTTTTATTAAATGTATCTGTAAGATTATCAAAAATTTTCTTCTTATATTCTGCTTTCTTTATTTTAGTCATTTTTCTTAGTTTTTTTATCATTTCAAAGTATTTGTTTTTTAAATGATTACTAGGGCATTTTTTATTATATTTTTGAAAAAAAGCATAGTAAAATCTTCATTTTGGCAAAGTATAAGAAAATTCTATCTCAAGAAATATATACCTATGATCTACCTTAAGAACGTATGCAATGGCTGAATATTTCAACAAGATACTTGCAAACGTTTTTTGTTTTCAAATTGACTTGCAATTGTACAATGACTTTAATACTTGTGCAAACTTGTTAATAAGAAAGTTGCAACTAGTTTGGAACATCCCAAATCAATTCATTATTACTGTTGTCTCTAGCATCTTGTCCGCTTAATCTGAAGCAAGATTCTTATCAGTTTCAATATTAGTAACAGAGATTTTTGTTCTGGAATTCATGGAAAACGTACAACATGGTGAAACGAATTCAAGGTTTTTCCCCGACGTAAAAGAAACCTCGTATTAAAAAAAAGGAATACAAGTTCTTTCAGATGTTCTGGTGTGTGTAAAATAATTATTTTTGACGACGCACTTTGTGTTGACTAGCAAATAGTGTAATAATCTTATTCAAATCATATTTCTGTTGTAGGTTATTCAAAAACGGTTTGATGGAACAGTAAGTTTTGACAGGTTTTGGAATAATTACAAAACTGGATTTGGTGACATCACAGGAGAACATTGGCTGGGTAGATATAATTAGATGTCGTATCTGGAGTTATAAAAGAGTTACTACTGTCATGGAATTTGGGCAAATTAGACCTTGCCACGTTATAAAGAAACTCATCATAGATGCATGGATTAAAATTGTGCACGCCAGTCGCGCGTTTCGTCTTCAAAAGACTTATCAGTGACGCTCGAATAAAAAAGTTAAGAGGAAAAAATAAAGCACAAAGTTGAAAAGCATTGCGGACCCAAAATCCCGAAAGGTTTTTGCCAAAAACAGCTAAGGTAATCTATTCATGGGGTGGAACATCCTTAGTATTTCGAAAAATTCCAAGAAATGTACACACTTAATTTATAATTATGACCATAACAATGCTATTTGATTTCAACAAAGACTCCTGTGTATTGTTGAATGCATCTTTATATCTTTTTTGTTCTGTAGTCTTGTTGCTGAGTCATGCACATTTCCAATTATTCATTACAAACTAAAACAGAGGAGCCTCGGTGGCCGAGTGATCTAAGTAGTTACTACTGTAATCACTAGCCTGTCAACACTGAGGTTGTGAGTTCGAAACCCGCTCGTGCGGGTGCACTCGACTCCAATCTTAATTGACTAGGATTGTCAGTTTTCCTATCGAAGGTCGGTGGTTTTCTTCGGGCACTCCTGCTTCCTCCACCAATACAAACTGACCGCCAAGAAATAGCCCAAAAGCGGCGCTTAAAAATGTCGTAAAAACACCAAAATCATAATCAAATCAAACTAAAACAGTAAGTTATGAAGTTCAATAACATGTGTAAATTTGTAACAATTTAAGTAATGGTTTAAATATATGCCTTTTAGATAACACTAACAGACACATTATTCGTGATATACAGAAAAACAACAAATAATATAGAGAAGCATATAAAATGGTTAAAAAAATAGCCCTTGCATGACACGATAAAAACCATGCATAAAAAAGTCTTCATTTACCATCGTTATTTGCTTTGAAGGATGATTAAACAAGTTTTGTAACTTCAGGAAATGATAATCTTTACTATATTACTCAACAAGGACCTTACAAAGTACGATTTGACTTTGAAGATTATTCAGGAAATACAGCCTATGCTATCTACGAAAGATTTAACGTTGGTGACGAGGGAACACACTACCTATTGAGCATTTCTGAGTATCATGGAACAGCAGGTATTAAATTCTACCCTAAATACGATGATATCTTCCACATTTACGATATTCCCTATCCCTACTATGATTATACATAGCCTACTTAAGAAATAAGTTTATACATAGCAGTACTAAGATACTATGTCCATACATAACTCTACTAAGGTATTAAGGCTATACACAGCCCTACTTGGGATATATATATACGCTTTCGTATCTTTTTGTGATGAGCGTACCTAATTTAGGATGGCCTGTATGAGGTTAACAGAATAGAGAATAATGTGCAAAAAGTGCAGAAAAATTGGAAAAAATAATAAAGAATAGAGAAACTAGAGGCTCTAAAGAGCCTGTGTCGCTCACCTTGGTCTATGTGCATATTAAACAAAGGACACAGATGGATTCATGACAAAATTGTGTTTTGGTGATGGTGATGTGTTTGTAGATCTTACTTTACTGAACATTCTTGCTGCTTATTATTATCTCTATCTATAATGAACTTGGCCCAGTAGTTACAGTGGAAAATATTTTGTAAAAATTTACAAAAATTTACAAAATTTATGAAAATTGTAAAAAAATGACTATAAAGGGCAATAACTTTTTAAGGGATCAATTGACAATTTTGGTCGTGTGACTTATTCGTAGATCTTACTTTGCTGTACATTATTGCTGTTTACAGTTTATATCTATCTATTATAATATTCAAGATAATAACCAAAAGCTGCAAAATTTTCTTAAAATTACCAATTCAGGGGCAGCAACCCAACAACGTGTTGCCTGATTGGTCTGAAAATTTCAGGGCAGATAGATCTTGACCTAATGAACAATTATATTCTGTAAGATTTGCTCTAAATGCTTTGGTTTCAGAGATATGAGCCAAAAACTGCATTTTACCCTATGTTCTATTTTTTAGCCATATCGGCCATCTCAGTTCGCGTGCGGGGTCATCGGACACATTTTTAAAACTAAATACCCTAATGATGATTGTGGAAAAGTTTGGTTACATTTGTCTTAGTAGATTCAGAGGAGAAGAGTTTTGTAAAAGATTACAAAAATTCACGAATAATGGTTAAAAATTGACTATAAAGGGCAATAACTCCCTAAGGGGTAAACTGACCATTTTGGTCAAGTTGACTTATTTGTAGATCTTACTTTGCTGAACATTATTGCTGTTTACAGTTTATCTCTATCTATAATAATATTCAAGATAATAACCAAAAACGGCAAAATTTCCTTAAAATTACCAATTCAGGGGCAGCAACCCAACAACGGGATGTCAGATTCATCTGAAAATTGCAGGGCAGATAGATCTTGACCTGAAACAATTTTACCCAGTCAGATTTGCTCTAAATGCTTTGGTTTCAGAGATATAAGCCAAAATCTACATTTTACCCCTATGTTCTATTTTTAGCCATGGCGGCCATCTTGGTTGGTTTGCCGGGTCACCGGACACATTTGTTAAACTAGATACCCCAATGATGATTGTGATTAAGTTTGGTCAAATTTGGCCTAGTAGTTTCAGAGGAGAAGATTTTTGTAAAAGTTTACGGACGACGGACGCAGAACGATGGACGCAGGACGCAGGACGCAGGACGCAGGACGACGGACGACGGACGCCAAGTGATGAGAAAAAATCACTTAGCCCTTTGGGCCAGGTCAGCTAAAAATGAAAAAAAAGTATAGGATAGAGAATAATTGGGTGTTGTAATATTAAGATGAAAAGCGAATGATGGGTAAATTAAAAAAAAAATAGAGAAAAATGGTCTTAAGCATTAAAAAACAAAGACACGAAGAACCCCATCCAGATCCTCGTGAAGGTATTGCAGCATCATGATTTTTTTGTGCTCGTAATGATATCATTTGTTTTTATAGACGTTCAACTCATAGTAACAGTTTTTAAATGATTTTATAAAAAAAATAATTATGAATTATTTTCAACCTACCATTTTATTGGACTATTCTATGTTATAAAGGTTTAGACTCTCCTGACCAGTGCTCGATAATTTAACACTGGTTTTTACTGTTTACCGACATAATCGTGCAAACTAATTCATGACCTTTTGTTTGATCAAAGTTGACCTTATTTGAAATAAAAGTACCTGATTGGTTGTTTAATTCCTATTATGACGTCACCTTGGGGTATGCTTGATTCACATGCTAAAAATATTCCAAATTTGAATACAACTTGACCAGTTCTCGATAATGTTATAAAAACTTCAGAATAAAAATTAAACAAGAACTATGATGTCTATTTGATAAAATGAACATTTTACTGATAATTGGCATTTAAATTTTACTGAAATGGTAATATATTCACAGATATTCAGAGATTCTAAATTTGATCTAAATGTGTATTGTTTGGAAAACAATTTTTTCCGTAAAAAATGTTCATAGTTCATTATTCCTCACACTGCACACAAACATTGAAGTACCACGGCTCATCAGTGACATATGAAACACCCAAACCCGAATATACATGAAGGGACAAGCAAGTTTACCCAAAATATATTGTTTACATAAAAATGGCGGCGGTCAAGTGAAAATATGAAGGAGCTCTAGGGGGACAAAACATGATGATACAAACGCCATGGATTGAATATAACTGTAGGAATCACATCATTTGAATTGTAAATGAATTTATAATCGATCCATGTTATTTCAAACTACTAAATATTTAATTAAAGTTTTTTTTAAACCGGATTCCAAGAGCGATCTTTTCAACTTCGATTCACCACTGTCGATTCATCGTCTGCTATTAATTTCCAGTTAAGTTAAGATCATGCAAAATGTACATTTCCTGTAAAGCCCCTTTTAAGGTATAAAAACAAAAAATATTTTAATTCAAAAGTGTTTTATTTTCATTAAAAAAAATCATTTCTGTGACGTGTTATCGAGCACTGGTCGTTATTGAGCACTGGTCAGGGGAGTCTACACCTATTTTCACCTTTTGAGCAGGATCTGCTTACACTTCCGGACCACATGAGATACCCCTGGTTTTTGCTGTTGTTTGCCTTGCTCAGTCTAAAGTTTTTTCTGTGGCGTTAAGTGTCTATTCTCGTTTTTCGTTTTGTCAAAGCGTGTCAGTTTGTTATCGAGTTATGAGTTTGAATACCCCTTTGGTATCTTCCGCCTCTCTTTTTTCACCATTTAAATGATTGTTTGATCAAATAGGGAACTTTTCACCGTCTAATATTAAATGCGTTCAACGAAGTTTTGGATTAATTTTCAGTAAAACACACACACACACACACACACACACACACACACCCAAACTCACACACCCATATATATATATATATAATTGTCTCGATAATTTGAAAAGATTTGTTTCAATCTATGAGAATGTGCAAGTTTTATGCCAGTTTAATGGTTTGAAAAAAACGTTAAAAACTTAAAAAACTAAAAACTTTAATAATTTCCGTTAGTGTTTATTATTCTTTAGTCATTACATTTCGCTTTACAGGTGATTCGATGAAAGATGCAGCGAGTCAGTCGATGAACGGTATGAAATTTACCACTCGAGATAAGGACAACGATATTGAATATCACAATACTAATTGTGCTATTCGTAAGAAGAGTGGATGGTGGCATGCATCCTGCACCCTTTCCAATATTAACGGAATTTACAAAGAGGAGGAATCTGCAGACAGTAATCACTGGTTTGCTTTTGATGCCAGAAAAGGTCTGATGAAGACAAAAATGATGATGAAACCTTACTTGGAAATTGAAACAATGGAATAGGTCATGCACAAATATGTTACCTAAGTAGTTTTAAATCATACAAAAATTATTATCTGTATTTACTTCATTATCTTTAGACCACAATCATTAATATTAATATATAAAGCTAAGTTCTCATATAAAGAGATATGTTGCTATAATGTAACTTTTATCTCATCAGAAAGTAATAAATAATACTCATTGTTAAATGTCAGAAACAATACAATTGTAGGATGTTTATTGCACGATTGATACATTTGTAATATGACACAACTCTGCAATTTTAAATTTGAAAAATACTTCTTTTTATTGACAATAGCATTCTTTGTAGAGGACGGAGAGAGAGATTTATATTTTTTGATTTAATAAAATTAGCTTTATAAATTCATACTTTCAACATTGTCGTAATAAACGTCTTTTTCAATTAAATTTAATATAAAAACATCTAAATCGAAAAATTAATATTTCCAGCTCACCTTCGTGTGAGCTATTGCCACCAACTAGCATCCATCGTCATCGTTAACTTTGTAAACACTCTTTTTGTCTGATAACACAAGACCAATTTCAACAAAAGATGAATTGACCACAATTTTCTACACAAGAAAATGCCTGTATCAAGTCCGGATTATGACAGTTGTTCTCCATTAGTTTGATGTGTTTGAGCTTTAAATTGTGCCATTTGATAAGCATAATAATGGACTTTCTGTTTTGTATTTTCCTTGGATATTTGTATTTATGTTATTTTATTTTTGAATTATCCGTAAACTATCGAAGGTCGGTGGTTTTCTCCGGGCACTCCGGCTTCCTCCACCAATAAAAACTGGCCGCCCGGAAATAGCCCAAATGTGGCGCTTAAAAGTGGCATTAAAACACCAACAATCAATCAATCAATTATCCGTAAGTATTTAAAATAAGGTGAATGTTTTTTGTTCCTGTCAGTCAATCACCATAGCCGTCATGGCTAAAAATAAAACATAATGGTACAATTCAAGTAATTATCTGTTATTTTGAAAACCATAATAAATATAGAAAATAGAACTGGAACAAAATTAAAATGAGAAGTTATACTTGCTTTCCGTTTCCATCGACATTATCAGATAAATTCTTATCGGAATTATTCCCCTTCAATTGCCATTCTTGAAAATGTTCGCCTATTTGCTCTATTATCTTGAAAATTATAACAGATAGAAGGAAAATATAAGCAACAATTACCAGCGTTACAATATCTACTTATACTAAAAGACAAAACCAACAGATAATTTCTGTTAGATGTTATAACTCTTAAAATGAAGATTTTCTACCAATTTTTGTATTTTTGCCTTTTATATATTAATTTCTTAAAAGAGAGGCGAAAGATACCAAAGAGACATACAATCTCATAAGTCAAACATAAACTGTCAACGGCATGGCTAAAAAAGAAAAAGACTTACAGACAAACAACAGTACACAAAACACAACATAGAAAACTAAAGACTGAGCAACACGAACCCCACCAAAAACTAAGAGTAATATCAGGTGATCCGGAAGCAAATCCTGCTTCACATATGGCACCCGTTATATTAAATCATTATAGACAAGCAGAAAATTTAAACAGCAAATGTGATCAACAGTAGAAGATCTAATACAATAAAAAATATTACTTAAACCATCAATGAATTCATCGGAGTAGTTCTCGCCGATGAATGAAAATTTTTGACTGATTCTAGTGTCTTGCATATCATCCATAAAACTATATGAGCCAGTCCATGAAAAAAGGTACAAACACGAAAAAATTGTTGGGTTCTAAAAAGTGTGCTTAATTATTAGAATAATTGTGATCTATGAAACACCGTTACTTTTCCTCATTCGATAGATCTGTAAACTATTCACACCTTTTAGTGCTTATATCTTTGAGATTTGTAAAGATTTTGTTCAATTATTTCATATTTTTTATTCATTTTTCCATGTTTAGTTTTAGTGTCTTAACTTTCCACTTGATCTGTTCTCTCGGGTAGCAGTGGGGATAAGGCTCTCGCGTACAAAGCAGAAATCAATGCAATTTAAAGGGGGCAACCGTTCGAATCACGTTCAAGGACGGTTGTTTTATATAATATTTAATAACTAAACTCAACTTAAACTTCAATTTCAAAACCACAAGATAGACATCATTTTTGCAATTTCCCTTAGGTTTAATTGTTGTGTTTCTTTCTTTACGCATAGTTAGAGATGATGAAAGTAGTTGACTTTTCTCTCTATAGTGTCGCAAATGTTTTATTTGGGCTCAATAAAGCATTGTTCTGGGTAAAAAATGATTTTACACTTGCAAATGATACAACACTCGGCCGCTTTTTAAGATCAATAAAAAAGTACTAAAATCTCAGTCGTAAATATAGAGCTATACAATCTTATCTTATTAGACCCATGTTATTTATTGTTGAAGACTCAAGTGATACCAATGGGACATTCAAACTCATCTGTAAAAATTAAACTAACAACGCCATGTCAAATGACATATTCAAAACATAACATAGCAATATGAAGATTGAGCAGTACAAACCCCACTCAAAACTGGCGATGTTGGGAATAAGCAGATTGTGCTCCGCATGTGACGGATTGGTTTTTGTTTTTTGTTACGTCCATTATTAAAAACATACATCAGTTGTATATAATAGTTAACAATTGATTCGAATGCACCTGCCTGGATGTCACTTTCTGATTACTTTGGTCAATTATTACTGGATTTATTTGAAAAAAGTTCCATAAGTTATTTTGGTAAAATATTAGAGGAATTTCATCTAGTGTCATCATTCAGAAGCAGCAATGATATTGTTTTATCTTTTTTTTTTACTATAACCAACAAATGCCAGATGAAACCTAAAATGATGGAATACGAAGAAAACATTATACAATTTAAATTTAAATTTTCCACTCCTTATTGGTGTTTACTTGCTATGTGTATATCATTACAGCTAAAAAAAACAGTTTAAGAAAATCATCTAAGAAAACACAAGAGGAGGTAGACATGATCCAACAAAAAAATAACGAGAAAGACAGAACACAAGATGTTATAAATGTGTATAATTTAATCTAGGATGTAACTAGTCTTCTGATTGGCTGAAAGTGTTTTGTCTATCAGCTCATAGACATAATTTTGTCATGTGACCGTGACTTCATCAACGTTTGTTCATGATTTACTCCTTAAAAATTAAATTTAGAATTAAATTATAAGAAATGACTGTACTATTTTTTCTGTCTATTCGAAATAACCGCTTCGCAGGTTATTCAGTGTGCACCACATTTTTTATGTTATTTCTTCATAGACAGAAACAATATTACAGTCATTCCTTAAGTATAGATTTCTAAAATCTGAGAAAAATCAAGCGCTGTAAGAAAACACTCTTTAATCATTTAGTATCAATTGTTTTAATTTCAAAGGAAAACTAGACATTTACAAAATTTCAAATTCTACATGAAAATATTGTTTTTAATAAGGGAAATATTAGGTACATAGCCATGAGATTCAACATGATGATACACATATAGATATTTAGATTATAAGTCTTCAACAATATACAAATGTAACATGAAATGCTGACTATATGTTAGTGAACTTATCATAGACACAAGAATTACAATTTTGTTCGCCAGACATGCGTTTTGTCTACATAAGACTAATTAGTGACGCTCGAATCAAAATATTTAATATGCCTAATAAAGTACGAAGTGGAAGAACAATGAGGACCCAAAAATTCCGAACGGTTTTGCTAAATAGAGTTAAGGATTTCAGCTGTTTTCTTGACATTGCAGAAATGTTTTCAGAGCATTGGTTTTAAACATTCGAAAATCATTTTATATAGATATAAGAAGATGTGGTATGAGTGGCAATGAGACAACTCTCCGTTCAAGTCAAAATTTATAAAAGTAAACCATTATAGGTCAAAGTACGGTCTTCAACACTCACACCGAACAGCAAGCTATAACGGGCCCCTAAAATTACTAGTGTAAAACCATTCAAACGGGAAAACCATGTTCATATACTTTTAACATTTAAATGATGTTTTGACAATATGAACATAACTTAAATATGTTATTTTTGAACTTTTTGTTAACATTTTCTTAACATTTAAACAAGAAGAAATGCGTTTTTTAATGTGTTTAAATTGTTTTTTGATTTGTATAAAATTATTTAATAGTATTTTACAAATACACACATCTAAACCTTAAGTCACAGCATTAAGAATTTTTCTTTAAATTAAGCATTGTTTGAAAATTCAGTAAAATTTGTTTAGCGTTTGAAAGGTACGACGGAAAAAATTTAGCGTCATTCTTAATTATAAATTAATATTTAATCTTTGGTCCAATATTTCAATTTCCATTTTATAAAAAATGATTCAATATTTTAACTTCAAACTTTAAATCAATATTTAAATTTCAGTTCAACTTTGACTTAATATATAAACATATCAATCAACTGTTTTACGACATTTTTGCCATTCTTTCTACTTTTAAATAAAGGCAACAGTAGTATACCGCTATTCGAAATTCATAAATCGATTGAGAAAAAAACAAATCCGGGTTACAAACTAAAACTGAGTTAAACACATCAAATATAAGAGGAAAACAACGACACAACAGAAACTCAACACTAAAATGCAACACACACAGAAACGAACTATAATATAACAATGGCCATTTTCCTGACTTGGTACAGGACATTTTAAGAAAAAATGTCCTGTACCAATAAACTTGAGCATATCCAACTAAAACTCCATTACTTGACAGTTTGTCAATCACATGTATCTTAACGTGGTTTTGTAGCATGAACATGACATATCATCTTCTAACATGAATATGGTCATTTATAAGTTTGAGAGTTGCCCTTTGCAAATTAGTTACGCTGATATTCTGGTTATAATCACTGTCAATTATGAAATATTTCAGTCAATATTTTTTTCTCTATTGTGGTGCGACATTCACTTGGTTTTCAATTTCAACTTCAATAGTCATTTCTGAAAATAAAGTAAACAATCACTACACTGAAAGTTATGTTGATGCATGTAACTCTATCTTAAAACTGAAAGATAATACATTATATTGTTTGGGCATTATCACACTTTCATTGAAACACACATAAGCAATGCTTCAGTAGTATAGAACATCTCTTAACTATATATCCCAGTAATATTGAAAATCCTGTATCGGTCTTTATCAGTAGAACAGAAAATCCTTTGACAACATACTTCAATCTTTCAATCATCCATGATCACCCCACTTCAGCAATATAGAAAATCTCCATTCATGCCAAATATTAAGATTAATGCTATGGTTATGTCCCGAACCATATTATAAGTATTCGGACCAAATGGGTATATACTCATATGGCTCGACCATACGCCTATGGTCTGTGCAATTAATAAAATGTTTGTTGAAACGTTTAACCTCTTATACTGGAACTTTTATTAGGTATAACCTTCGTGTTGTAATAAAAAAAAGTTTTGGTCTGAGTTATCATATGGCAATTAGTTTTTAATAATTACTTAAAAAAATTACTTTGAATTTTTCTCACAAGTAAGAAACATTTATACATGATCATTATCGATTTATCACGACGATTGACAATTTTTAACTGGAAAGATAACTTAAAGTTATTTAGAATAAATGAAATCTTGAAAAGAAGTATACACATTTAATTACGGATGAAAAAATTCGACAGGATAAAGATGCTTATAATTGAAATTAGCAAAGGCAAGAAAACAGATACCCTAGATTCAGACAGTATGTCAAAGATAAAAAATATATGTTAGTAACTGGTGACATTTTGAGTATGGAAAACGATTTGTGTGTTTCCAGCGAAACAAATTTATCTTTTAAAAATGTTCATTCATGATGCAATATCATCTAAAAAGTATCTGTGTCCAACACGTGTTTGTTTTCGTTTTTTAATTGCTGCCGTCGCATCATATATCCTTTTAAGATATGGTTTTGTGTTTTGGGTATAAAATACTTGTTTTATTTTTAGCTCACCTGGCCCAAAGGGCCAAGTGAGCTTTTCTCATCACTTGGCGTCCGTCGTCCGTCGTTAACTTTTACAAAAATCTTCTCCTCTGAAACTACTGGGCCAAATTTAACCAAACTTGGCCACAATTATCATTGTGGTATTTAGTTGAAAAAATGTGTCCGATGACCCAGCCAACCAATAAAGATGGCCGCGATGGCTAAAGATAGAACATAGGGGTAAAATGCAGATTTTGGCTTATATCTCTGAAACCAAATCATTTAGAGCAAATCTGACTGGGATAAAATTCTTTATCAGGTCAAGATCTATCTGCCCTGAAATTGTCAGACAAATCGGACAACCCATTGTTGTGTTGCTGCCCCTGAATTGGTAATTTTGAGGAAAAGTTTGCAGTTTTTGGTTAGTATCTTGAATATTATTATAGATAGAGATAAACTGTAAACAGCAATAATGTTCAGCAAAGTAAGATCTACAAATACGTCCACATGACCAAAATAGTTAATTTATAGTAAATTTTTTAACATAAGTTTTCGTAAATTTTTGTAGTCTTACAAAAATCTTCTCCTCTGAAACTACTGAGACAAATTTAACCAAACTTAGCCACAATCATCATTAGGGTATCTTTTTTGAGAAATGTGTCCGATGACCCTGCCTGCCAACCAACATGGCCGACATGGCTAAAAATAGAACAAAGGGGCAAAATACAGTTTTTGGCTTATATCTCTGAAACTAAAACATTTAGAGCAAATTTGACAACGGTTAAGATCTATCTGTCTTGAAAATGTCAGACGAATCATACAACCCGTTGTTGGGTTGCTGCCCCTGAATTAGTAATTTTAAGGAAATTTTGCAGTTTTTGGTTATTATCTTGAATATTATTATAGATAGAGATAAACTGTAAACAGCAATAATATTCAACAAAGTAAGATCTACAAATAAGTCAACATGACGAAAATGGTCAATTTACTCCATAAGGAGTTATTGCCCTTTAAAGTCAATTTTTAACAATTTTTCGTAAATTTTTGTAATCTTTTACAAAAGTCTTTTCCTCTGAAACAACTGAGACAAATTTAACCAAACTCGGACACAATCATCAGTAGGGTATCTAGTTTAACAAATGTGTCCGATGACCCTGCTTGCCAACCTTAATGACAGACATGCCTAAAAATAGAACATAGGGGTAAAATGCATTTTTTGGCTTATATCTCTGAAATTAAAGCAAAAGTATAACGGTTGCATTATTTCATGCATCAATTGTAAACAAAAATATCAGGTGAACGACACAGGCTCCTTGGAGCCTTGAGTTTACTTTCTGAAACAAACGCGTATGGTCGGACCATATGAGTATACCCATATGGTCCTGAAGATACGCATATGGCACAAATACTCAAATGGTCCGGAACAGTTACAGAAAATTTTGTAATAGATAAACTGTTTTGGAAAAACTGGTCAACATAGATGCAACATCACTAATTTGTTGTCCGATGAGTAAGTGCCACTAATCAGGAAATATTGTATTGTATGATACTACTTTCTAAGGTATTGATAAAGTCTTTTGCTCTGTTAATTTGCAGAGTGTGCTCCCTATCTTAATATGCATGCATTATTGGCTGAGTCTAGGTTCTCATGACTGATGATCATAAAATGAGACCAACAAACCAGTTTTGCTTGAAATGAGCAAAAAGACGGATGTCACTAGTAAAGCTGTAAATTGTTACCCTTTCGGAGCAACGTACAGTTCACTTGATTTTTAAATTTGGAGACAATGTTGAACGCATCTATCCAATCGAACTTGAGATAAAGGATACAACAGATACAGTTCAGTCTGCCTAATATCTTGACTTTCATCTATAATTGACAATGATAGAGAGCTTGTCTTTATGAAATATAATTGACAATAAAAGAGAGCTTATCTTTAGGAATTTAAATCTGTGTACGGAATGTCATATTTAGGGAACAGTAAAACAACCGTATACTCTACTTCTAAGATGATATTAGACTAACTACATTTATATAAAATGTCAGTATTAAGGAAATCTGACAATTTACAGCATATTTACCTGATATGATTTCATTTTGAACAACTTTCACTTCCTCTTCAGAAATAGGTTTTTTTAACGATTTCGATAAACTGATCTGTATACAGCCTGGCAGGATTGTTATATAGATCAAACCGTTTTAAAACGTCGATTAGTACATTACATAATTCACTAAAGCGTTTTTCGTCAATTTCAAATGTCTCAGACTAGAGTATTTCATTTTTTGTAAGTCGTATACGCTCAATGTCATCGCCAATAGCTATGTCTTTCGACTGAATTGATTGCCATGTGCCTCTCTTTCCAGAACTTGTAATATGTTTATTAAGCTTCCTGAGCTATCTGTACAAGTATGTTATATCACAATTGCTTCTAGGGCGTACATTTTGTTTGTATCCTTTTATTAGATCATATAAAACATCGGTAAGAATATTCAGCACAATCATCCCCATTTTGGCAAAGTAAAGCTCCTCCTTTGTGAACTAAAGAGTAAAATAAAAAACGATGTAAAAGTTTGACAAGGCAGAGAATATGTTAAGATATCGTTTCATTTAAAAGAAAATATCAAAATAGAATTGACTCAAACATGTTGTAATGGCACCAATAAATTGCCAAGGTGATCTTTGTAACCTTTTGGAATTTGGGTCTTCAGTGCTATTCTATTTTGAACTTCATTTTGGCCTTTTTAACTTTGTTATATTCGATCGTCACTGATGAGTCTTTTGAAGACAAAAACGCGCGACTACCGAACACATTCATAAGCCTGTTATCTATGACAAATTTATAATTTTTCTCTTGAAACCATTTTGAAACTCTCTTCTGATCACATTGAACGGTACCATTATACTCCACCAGTTTAACATTGCAACCTGATCAGGCCTATTCAGCAGAATGAAGACAGCTTGATTGGAAACGCAACCGCTAAATTTGTTCTTATTGCTTGTTTTTTTATATAAGGAACATACCACTTAATAAATCGGATTGAAAGTTGACTGACAACTTATAATAACTCTAAATCGTGACTACATTATGGCATAACATACCCCTGTCAATCTGCCAGGTCTAGTTGACTCTTCAGATACATTTGAACATGTTTGTGCACCAACTTTGACAAAGCAGCGCACCTATAAAATATGAGTGTAGTGAAAAATGAAAATTAGTTTTTAAACTTAAGATAGTTGGGTGTCTTCCTCTATCTTGGATTTTGAAATAGCAGCTAACAATTTGTCTAGATCTTTAATAAAACGTGCACATTTTGAGAGTAGTATGTAACATGTGTAATTTATGTGTAGGACTTTTCCATGTTTTCATGTTAATATAGAAAATTATGTGTTTTATCATATCAACGGCTCTATTTTACCAAAAAAACCAGAATGTTTTTGCTTGATTCATATTTGTTTTTTACTTTGCCTTATTAGGGGAGAAAACTCAGATATAAGGGGAGATAACTGTGAAGAATTTTGTAATAGAATGTGTTGTGAATTTACCTATTTTATTATGTAGTTAAAAAAACGACTCCAGTGACCCATTTTTATTTTGTTTTATCTGAAAGCATATTATAAGAGCTATCTTCTCATATTTTATTTTAAAATATCATGGTGTAGTTCTCTTTTTATCACACAAAATTGTGGTTTCCATGCATAATCTATACAAATCTGACGATTTTGCACAACCCGTAGCGTAAAAAAGGCCAGGTAAATCATACATTTTATCATATTTTTTAAAAAAGCATGCTATAAACTACATTTTGACCAATTATTAAAAAGATCTATGGATTTTGATTTATACCCTTAAAAACCATAATTTGGACAATTTTATGTGTTGACATATTCCTGCAAAATTCACAGAATACGTAATTTAAGATACAAAAAAGGCAATTTAAAAGTTATATTCAATATACAATTGATTAATAGTAAAAAATAACTAAGTTCTAATCAGAAAGTTGATGAACCAGGAT